GCACACTTTGCAGTGTCTGAGGGGTTTGTGGGGTGAACCCAGGGTCCTGCCGCTTTCCACACACGCAGATCTTCTTTTCCACCCAGCTATTCCCCAGCTATATGTTGCCCCCACGCCCTCCACCTCCAACCCCAGAAACAGTGCTGTAAGCCCTTCCCTCTGGCACTGAGTCAAGAGTTGGGAGGAATGAAGGGAGCAGGGTCCTGACCGAAGGCTGATAGGGGATAGGGCTTTTGAGGTGTGGGGAGTGAAGGGAGGGTCTCTGCCCCCTCACTAGTATGGCGTTACTCCGACAGACAATGATTTCTGGTTCCCCGTCGATCTGCCACCACTGGGTTCTGTGCCGCCCTGCTCACGTGGTCACACCGCCACCTACGACCTGGACACCAAACGCATCTATGTCTTTGGGGGCATGAAGGAGGGCAAGCCCTACAGCACCATCTACATCCTGGACACAACCACCTGGAAGTGGCTTCACGTGGCTGTGAGTAGTGGAGCTTCTGCAGGAAAGAGACAAAGCATGGGGGGAGGGAAGGAGAGGAGAGGGGAGGGGAGGGGGAGAAGTGTGTTTCTGTCAGGGACCAGCTGGGAACCCAAGAGCAATGTGCCCGTGTCCTTGCTCTTGTGCTTGCTCTTTGGCCCCTGGCCCAGTGTCAGGCACTGTGCGTTGGTTCCCATTTCATGGTCAGTGGAAGGGATGTGATCAGGGTCATCGATAGGAGCCTTCAGGAGGGCAAAGGGGAAGTGGGCTGTTCTGGGTTCTAATCCCCCCTTGCTTTGTCCCTTGGGGTGAGCCAAGTTAGACCCAGCCAGGAAAACTTGGTTAAAAAGCTTGAAGCTCACTGGAAACCAGATAGTGCATCCAGTGTGAGTGAGGTTGGAGGCAGAATGGATTGACACTAGATGCTGTATCTGAGCCAAGCTACATGGGAGAATAGCACACAAATTGCAGGGGGGAAATGGTCCCCCATTTGTGGGGGGCTAGTGGAAACCTGGTCAGGGCACCAAGATAATGATTTGACTTTCTTGGTTCAGAGGCCCTCATCTTGTGCTTTCCCCCTTCCCTCTTTGTTTCCTGGAGAGAAACTTTCCCAGCTGGTGATCCCCTGCACCTTCCTCCCTTCCCTGTCTGGGCAGCACTAAAGCACAAGGAAAACCAGAGGGCTGAGAGAGAATGGCAAAGGTGGGATTAGCAGTGATTGGGGTGGAAGTGTTTCCAGAATGACCTCCTCTTCCTATTTGTGTTCAGAACCAATTGGGATCAGTGGGGTGATGACCTGTTCAGGTCAGAGAAAGGTGGGACATAAACTGAGCAGATATTGTCCACCCGCATCTTAGAGTTCTGGTCATGGAGCAGGGGAGTGGCACCAGGACTCACTATACGCATGGCCAGCAGGGAGCTGACCCATGCCAACCTGTGCGCTTCATTTTCACACATGAAACATGACTGGAAACTTTCTTCCTCAGGCCAAGGGGAAGGTGCCAACACTGGCCTACCACAGCGCCACCATCTACCACAAGGAGCTTTTTATCTTTGGAGGGACTTTCCCCAAGATGGCATCCCTGGAGTCCAGAGCCTGCAGCAACACACTCTACGTCTTCAACCCTGAGTACAAGATTTGGTACCAGCCCATTGTGGAGGGAGAGAAGCCCTTACCTCGGCTCGGGTGAGACACCTTCATTTCAGCCCTCAAAGATAGAGGGAGGGAAGCACCAGCAGGTCCCATCTAGTTAATCTGCACACCTGAAGGGCAGGGCATGATTATCCCCCAGTCACATCCCCAGGGCTGGTCCAGTCCTAGTTTTAAATGTCCCAAGCGAAGCAGCTCCTAGCCCTTCCCTGGGGGACTGTCCCATGTTGATGGGTTGTGCACTAGCAGGTGGTGCTCAGGTATTAGGCTCTCATGGCTGTGGGGAGCACAGAAGGGAGGAATGGCCATCTGTAAACTCAAGCTGCCCCAGCCCATAAGAGTGTAGCTGAGTTAATGGTTCTCCTGGAAGCCTGCTTTTGTGAAAAGAGACTGAACCCTCAATTCCAAGAGGTTCCAGAGGCTGCCTTGCTCACTCACCTCCCTCTCTCCCCAGCCATTCAGCCACTCTGCTGAGGAACAAGCTGGTGATCTTTGGGGGTCAGAGGACCCCTTTGTACCTGAATGATGTGCACATCTTGGATCTGGGTGAGAATAGGACATCGCCATCCTGTCAGGCTATACTGGGCAGCTGGGGTGGGAATCCAAGGGCTGCCTGCCTTAGGAAACATGATTGGGGGACAGGAGGTGAATGAGGGCCCTTATGTGATATGGGAGGGGGACAGCATGGCTCTGAGGTGTCTGGACCAGAGTAAGAGGATGGGAAGCTGTGGATGTAGGGAAGGCCCTGATGGGGTGGGTAGGAGATGGTTTGGCCCAAGGCAGGGGGTAAGAAACATCAGGCACTGGTGATTGCAAGAAGCTGGGTAGCAGATTAAACCGGTTGCTGCTCTGATTTGATGCGGCAAACCCTATGTTCCCCAAGTTCAGCACAGAGGTGTTTGTCTTGCAGTGGGGCTGGGCAGAGCTGCTAGGATTGCCATGCATTTGAAGTGTCTCCTGTTTTTTCCCCTGTGCTTCAGGTTACATGGAGTATGTGCCGGTCCCATTTCTTTCAGGACAGCCTTCTTCACGCTGGTAAGATCCTGCTGCAGGATCAAGAGGCCTCTCTCCCCGCCCCTGTATCTCACTTCATGGCTGGAACTGTGCTTCCTGCATGCTTGCAGGGCTACCACCCAGTACAACTCGCCCTCCCTGGTGCCTGGGCAGCAGCAGAGCCAAAGAAAGGGAGAAACCCTTATAAGGAGAATGCTCGGTTCCTGAAGGGAGGCCCTTGGGTACTTGCAAACATAAAACCCTCTGCCCTTCATTAGCACCTTTTGTCTGAGGTTCTCTGGTGCTTCTCAGACACACATTAAGCCTCTCAGCACCTGCAGAGATGAGTCACCATCTAAGGCACAGAGAGGAAAGTGACTTGCCCGGGGTTATGCAACAGTTCAGGGGCAGACCTGGGACTAGAACTCGGGAGTCCTGACTCCCATCTGTGACGTGAACCACTATCCCAGGCTTCCGCTCCTAGGTAAGTAGAGGCCCCCTAGGTGGTGTTTGGGGGAGAGGGGCAGGGAAGGTGGGTCCCCTACATGTTTTGCTCTGGTTATTGTTATGCTTTGCTCTGATTCTAGCTTCCATGCTTCAATGCCAGTGTCTGACCAGAAGGTCCTGATCAGTGGAGGCTGCAATGCCAAGGGAGCCCTGCAGGACGTATTCACTTTTCACCTTGGTGAGTAACTCCCCATTCCCTCCTCCGAGCTGCTGACTGACAAAGAATTGCTGAAGGTGGCTGTTGTGCTGCAGTGACAATGCACTTGCTGGTATTTCTGGCAGCCTTGTGTCCATCTGTCTGTTTCATCCCTGGCACTGAGGACAGCTTTGCCAGCAGCGATCGTTCCTTTCTATTGCAGACACCTTTGCATGGAGCACAGTGACACACAGTCACCTCTCCTTAGTGCCCCGGGCTGGCCACACGCTGCTCAACCTCACCTCTGCCCACCTGACAGATGTGGACAAGGAGAGCCAGAGCAAGCGCAACCTGTGCACGGTGCTGGTTTTTGGTGGCTCAGACTGTGCTGGGACCTTCTACAATAGCACAAGCAAGATCCAGCTGGACCTAGAGGAGACCAAGCCCAGGACAGCAGGGGTTCTGGGTCATGGTAAATAGAGACACATGGATAGAGAGTGGGTGGCAATAAATGAATCAAAGCAAAGAGGCGAACCAAGTCTCTGCATGTAGGTGAAATCTGCCCCACATTTGGAATGTCTCCCTGAAACCTGCGGTGACTTCTTGCCTATGTTGGGGCCCAGGGACATGCAGCCTAAGGACTGGGCACAAATCTCCAGCCTCACACTTGCATGTGCCTATGCTTTGACACCTAATTACCCTGGGAAGCCTGAACTAAATCTGCAGTGTCCTGTTAGAGGAATTGTCCCCATGGCTTTGGGCAGAACTAGTCTCTTGCTTTCCTCTTTTGCTGTATTTCACTTCTCTTCCCTGCCCCAAATCCCAGCTTCTGTTGGGCAGAAGTGAAGGTGACCTCATATATTCACTCTTAACTGGGTAAGGAGAGGGGGTTGCTGCAGGCTCTGAAGAGAGGGCTGTAAGGTGAGGATGTGAGTTGCCCACCAAAGCTGGCTGGATCTCAGCTGCAACTTGGCAGTTCCTTTCCAGGAATGGGGTTCTTCTAGCTTGGAATGAATGAGAATTCACCACCCAGAAATCTCCCCTTGGGAAGGAAGGGGGACAGTATTGCTAAAAAGTGAGTGACTGGCTTTCTACAAGTGGCTGAAAAGTGTCTGATGCTGTGTGATGTCTGGGTGTAAGTGGCATGCCATCTGGGGATGGGGACGAGAACGTTGTCATCTTTGGCTAAGGGGGGAGCTGGCTGCTATGCCAGCAGTGAGGAGACTAGTTCTCCCAGGTTGCTGCGGGGTGAAGGGAAGACATATAGATCACCCAGCAGCCTGGGACAACTAAGCTCCTTCATGCTGTCACTGCCAGCGTGGCAGGCATGGTGTAGAGTAGCTGTCGGTGGTTCCCTACAAGAGCAGAGACACCCGGGGTTGGGGTCTAACTCTCATTATGTTTACAGGAGGAGAGGGTGGGCCTGATCTTCCTTGCACTTACAACCATGTGAATTGGGGGTTACTGTAACTGTGGTGCGGGTGCTAGGACAATCAGGCCTAGTGTGTTAATGGCCTACTTTTACTCTGTGCGCTGAGTGGTTCTTTGATATTCTTCCATGGCTGGTGAAAGTGAGGCCCCCTCAAGCTGGCCTTGTCCCATAGGTACAACTCAATCTTGCTATGAACATTTCCTGTAAAGGGTATTGCCTTCACCCTCCACAATAAAAAAGCTAAGATATCTTCAGCAAGCCCATTCCTGGGCCCAAAGCCACACAAATGCAGGGCTGAGGATAGCTCTTGATGCTTCTCCTTTAATCTGCTACATGGTGAGATTGAAGGTAGTCAAACATGATCAGGGGTAAGCATGACCTTTCCCTTCCATACTCAGGTCTGCAATGGGCCACCCACTGCTTCTTTCAGAGTACAGGGGCTGGGGCGCTCGCTCTCTTTCTCCTTCCTCCTATGCAGCTGGCAAGGATGCATCAATGCTATGGCTGCCTGTTGGGCACTTATTTGGCTTTCCTTCTCTGGGCAGGGTGTGATCCATTTCTCTGCCACCCCTGCCCTTGTGCTTTAGAGAGGAACAGAGCCCGCTTGTAGGAAGGACCTTAGGCTCGCAGCTCTGCGGGGGTATCCGGCTGCCGGCATGGGTGGCTCACTTGGAATGCCTCTAGCTCCAGAAGGGCTTTATTGATTCTGGTGATCGTGGGGTATGGAGCCAGGTCCACTTTAAATCTACAAAGGGAAGAGAGATTAAGTCAGATACTCCCAGCTAGACAGTCCAGCAGCAAGCACTAAGGGGGAGTTCTACAGAATCCCTGCTCCACGGACCCAGGGCAACACGATCAGCACAAAGCTCCAGAAAAGTCAAGCAGGGGAGAATCATCTGGCAGATTGGGGCCTAGTCTGCACCAGGAAAAAGGTGTGTTCTGATCCTGTGTTAGCTAAGCTCACCCCTAGGATAGGGTTACCATATTTGCACAGTCAAAAAAGAGGACACGGGGGGGAGGAGCCCTGCTCTAGCCCCGCCCCTGCCCCCAACCACTCCCTCCCACCCCCTGACTGCCCCCCTCAGAACCCTCAACTCCCCCCTGCTCCTTGTCCCCTGACTGCCCCCTCCTGGGACCCCTGCCATTAACTGCCCCCCTAGGACCCGACCTGTCCCCTGACTACCCCGACCCTTATCCACACCCCCACCCCATATTCACACCCCTGCCCCCAGAGAGACCCCCAGGACTCCCATGCCCTATCCAACTGCTCCCCGCCCACTGACAGGACCCCCAGAACTCCTGACCC